TTGGTTGGTTGGTTGGTTGGTTGGTTGGATGGATGGATGAATCGATGGATGGATGGATGAATGGAGGCACGGACGGACGGACGGACTAATGGATGAATGGAGCTGTGGACGGACGGACGGACGCACGGACGAATGAATAAATGAGTGACTCACTGGCTGTCTGTCTGACTTACTGAACATTTCTTCTTTGTCCATTGATTTGTTTTTCCCAGACGTCTGGGGTTTTGATGAAAAAGCTGTTGCAGTCCTCCAGAACATGCGCCCTGCAGATGAGAGCCTCATCTTTAAGTACGCTATATTACTGGGGGACAAGGCGTTAGGCAAGCAAACGGAGGATGAGGTAAGATCGAGTTACGTGTAATTCGGAACACCTGCCGATAAATGACTATCCCATTCTGAAGAAGGGGGAGTAAACAGCTTTGTTGCATGCGTTTTTTTGTTTTTGTTTGTTTGTTTGTTTGTTTTTTGCGAGGAGTGGGGATTAACACCTTTGTTGACATACTTAACGGAAGAGATAACTAGCTAAAAACTAGTGTGAGCTGCGTCGGTGTTTTTAATGAAACAGTAATGATAAAAAGGTAAATTATGACACCGTGAAAAGATGAAAAAACCTACTGACGTTTCGGACGCTAGTCCTTCGTCGGTGTAAATGACGAAGGACTAGCGTCCGAAACGTCAGTTTTTTTAATCTTTTCACACGGTGTATAATTTATCCGTACCCAGATTCTCGTACCCAGATACTCCTCATATCAAAAATCTTAGGCTGTTGGAAACCCTGAAATTCTATCGAATTTCATTGGGTGTTGAAAATAACATAGCAAAGAACTCTGATTGGTCAAAAGAAACAAGCAAGACAAATCGACAAGAACGGTTATATATCTTCGAAACTTGAATCGAAGTCTAAGACTTTATTTCAATTTGTCGAATATATAAACTTTTGCAAATAAAAGACGTAAACAAGCCTTTAGAAAGGTTGAGCCGGCATATTAAAGTCAGCGATCCTGAGATAGGGCATGCGCTCTGACGACCTTGTCGCAATATTCTGGCTTCCGGTCATTAGGTTTTCATAGAACCTACTGTTTGGCTAATAAGTAATGTCTGGGAACGAGAATGATTGCTCAAGATGGCACTGCGAAATTCCGTGCTTTATTTATTTTCATAGAATCCAAAAAAAGAAGATGACAAAGACTCCGTCACTAATCGCGTAGCCGGCTTTATCTGCAAACACGTCTTCACAGAACACACCAGTTATGTCACCGGGCTTGCTGTGGTGGGCAAGGAGGCCGGGTTTGGTACCACGTACTTGGTAAGCATAGAGCAGTTTTCTTATGACTGTGAAAAAGTCGGTGCCGTATGCGTGCCTTGCCTCATGGAATAGAGGTTTTGCATCATCATCTGGCCACGCCCATAATGCAGCTTGGGCTGCCTGTGGTTAGAATAGCAGAACGACCTTGAAAATTGATTTCTTTCTCATGTAAAAGCATTGTATTGTTCCTGTCATCTAACATGGCTGCCGTCACGTGATGTCGCAAAAACTGTATATCCCACTTGTCACTCGTAATCTCTTGTACACCTTCTCTCCTGAAGGCTCTGGAATATATTAAAGATATTACACGGGGGTGCGAAAATATGAAGTTTATCGAGTGGTGAAAAGAGTTCACGAGTAAGCGCATCTTTCTTTTCATTATATAGACACATTCACAAAAAAAACTTATTGCAAACAAGAGAATATGGAAAATATGTTAATAATGTCCCAGATGTAGTTCGTATGAGAAATACCAGTAGCGTATTTCCCAGTCAAACACTCATGTCTATATAATAAACGTGAATACACGATTGCCTCGTGGATATCCCATGTTAAGCAACTTAAAACTGTTGTATAACTTTTTTTTTTATTTACAGAAAGTTTTGTTTTTTCTAACAATAAGACTTTTTTACTGTCCAGATAAGCGCTGGTTGGGACAGGAGAATTCTTCTGTGGGACCTCGAAAAAGCAAGGTGATTAATTACTGATGCTGATGTTGTTCTTTCAATTCAATTGAACCCTGAAACGACCTCTTGGCTGATCTAAGTCAGGGCACGGCTAACTCACAGATAAAACCCTGAGACAACCTCTGGGCTGATCTAAGTCAGGGCACGGCTAACTCACAGATCAAACCCTGAAACAACCTCTGGGCTGATCTAAGTCGGGACATGACTAACTCACAGTTCAAACCCTGAAACAACTCTGTGCTGATCTAAATAACTTTGATGGCTAACTCGCAATAATCCTTCTTTCTTGCCATAGGCTGCATGATGTGTTCCGTAAGGCAGAACTGAAGTCTACTGAAAGCGAGGAGTTAGCATCTGATGGCATTATTATGGATTTGACTTACAGTGTTGAGAGGTTAGTAGCCTTGAGTATTGCTTGTCTTCGTCTTCGTCTTCGTCAGTACTGCAAAGTTATTTCATTTATTTATTATCCATTCATTTTCATTTTCAGGAACGAGTTTGCTTACGCATCGTCAGACAAGCTCGTCTATATCCGTCAGTTTTCTAACAAAGGGAATGAAATGTTATTATCAGCTATACTTCAAGGACACGAGGCTGAAGTAACACAGGTACAAATATCTGGTTCGCAATCAAAGACTATAAGATCAATACAGTACACTCTTTTTTCCTCTGGGTTGCCCTATATATTTTCACGTGTTCCACTGAAGATCCTTGGAATTTCAAAGTGTTCATTTCTTTACTTTACCGTTTTTAATTTGTGAATATTTAGACACTCAAATGAGGCTAACTCTGATTAAATGAATCTGCATCAGAGCAACAGAGATCTCGAAACTGGAGTATTCGACGCATTCGAAAACGATTTTTGTCTGGAGCCGATTAAGAAGGGTGGTGATAACCGCTATACCCACCACCTCTGGAAGTAAAATCATTCATGGATTTTGTCCCTCAAAAATCTCCAAAGCTAAAAGTCAAATCAATCGCAGCCATGAATGTGTATTGTCTGTTGACATGTATGCTAAGCAACGTATTTGTGTACAGATATAGTCGCAAAGAAAACAAAAACAAAAAAACAAGGGCACCTAGTAAGCCTACCCCTTACAGATTTAAAGTTAGATTCATTTATTCAGTTCTTCCTGTTTTTCTTCAACCTAATTCTGTTATTATTATTATTATCATTATTATTATTATTATTATTATTA